ATAAAATTTCAACGAGGTATTTGTAATTTACCCAAATATAAGTTAGGGTATTTCCATTTACGTACCATCGATCCTCTTAGTATACACCATTACTTAAACTATATTTCTATTACGGGTTTAGTTTTAATGATTTAAATTATTTTTGTGAGATCTTTTGTATATATTATTTAGGGCAAATTATAGCAATGGTCTCTATAGTTTACTTGTGGTTTTATTTTGGTCCCTGCATTTCTAATTGCATTAATTTTACTCCTACAATTTGATTTTTGGCTATACGTAGACCAATAATTAAAATCGTTGGCTTTTTAGGTGGAAACCCACGCTTGCCTTGCATGCACGAGATGAAACCAGTCAATCCATAAATGAAACCACCAAGGGAAGGTCTTTTCTCTCTCTCACCTCCTTTTCTCTGATTTATTTCTTTTTAGTTATTCCATTCTCCCTCTCTTTCTCTCTCTCTGAATCAAACCCTTCTCTCTCCAAAGCCATCAATGGTAGCAGCAACCATAAATTTCGGCATTGTCGACTACCAGTTACCCAACAACACCATGACGTAACCTTCTTCACCGATCAAATCCACACCCTTGTCACTCGCTTGCCCTTCCTCGTCGACTCCTAGATCTCCAAAATCACAGTCATCCATCATCTCCTTCTCCACTGCCTCATCGTCAGCCTTGACATTGATTTGCGACCCAACAACCGGTTCCACGATAACCCCGCCATCGCCACTCTCCAACTTTGCGTCGACCGCCGATGCCTCATCTTCCAATTCATCTACTCTCTCCAAATCCCTCAGTCCCTCTTCCACTTCCTCAACAACCCTATCTACACTTTTATGAGTATGGGTATTCACACCGATGTGTTCTCTACTTCTATCTTGTTAGGAAAATATACAAATTTCCCTTTGTTTCACTCAGTTAACAAATTCTGTGACAAATCCAAATCTGAAACCGAATTTAGTTTCACCGAAAACGGAGTCTCTATTTTTTAGAGATGATGGCAGAGGAGAATGGAGCTATGAAGAGGCAGACAAAAGACGAAGAAAACAGAGTCTCTGTTTCTTTAGATATGGAGGGCATCAATAACAATAATAACAACAATAAAGAGACCGGTTATATATCTTCTGTTATACCTGGGTGGTTCTTTGAGATTAGCCCAATGTGGCCTGGTTTGTTTCCTTTGTATACATAGATTATATCTACTATATATTGTCTGTAGATTGTGATTGTTATTCAAGGTCTTTGCTTTTTGTGTGTGATTTGAGATTATAGTTTAGTTTCCTATATGGGTCTGTATGTACGTATGTATGCATGTATGTATTTATGTATGATTTTAGCTATGATTATTTGATTGTTTGTTAAAAATAAAAAAACAAAAATAAAAATAAGTTTATATTTGTTACCATTTGTATTCAAATGCCTATTTTTTGGATTTGTTTTAGGGTTTTTAGGTTCCTTCTGTTTTCTAGTAATTACATCAACACTTTTGCAGATTCATGAGGTGAAAGAAAGGAAGGGAAAGAAAATTATATGTTTTGTTGAAGCTAAATTCAATTTGACTACAAGTGAATGATTGGGTTTGAGAGATTTGCTGGAAGCGAAAATTGAATATATTGTGAATAATATTTATTTTGGAAGGTGGATTTTGTTTTGTGGGAATTTAAATTTTATTAGATACAAAATATACAAATATATAATAAAGAATATAATAAAACAGAGGGACTGATCCCTTACACCAAAACAAGCTTACTAGCGAAAGAAAATGTTCAACAATAGGTTTTTGAAAGATTACCATCGATGGCTTTGGAGAGAGAAGGGTGGTTTCATCCTGTGCATGCAAGGCACGCGTGTGTTTTCCTCCAAAAAGCTAACGGTTGTTAATTATTGAATCACATAGAGCCAAAAACCAAATTGTAGGGCAAAATTGATGCAATTAGAAATACAAGGACCAAAATGAAACCGTGAGTAAACTATAGGGACCATTGATGTAATTTTCCTTATTATTTATAAAAAAAATAAAAAAAATATGTTGTATGACTATCATATCCTATTTGATTTAGAAAAATACTTGAGACAATTTATTACTTCTGAAAACCACCTCTAATGATGTATTTGACAAGTGTCAAATTTTAATGTGTAAAACATTTCATCGTGTGTGGTCTAACCTCAATGACACATCATTTTAGAGGTGGTTTAGAGATAGTAAATTAGAGGGATGTAGTATTGTTGATTTAATGTATCACATTTATTTCAAAAAAATGAATGTTGTAAATATAGAAAAAAAAAATTAATGACAAATGCGATATTTTGAATTAGCTACGATTATTGAATCGATCTAATTTTTGTGTGTATGATATACATGAAAGATCTTACAAAATGAACATTTTAAAGTGTCAAAATGAGACTCGTGATGGGCCGGTGAGCCCAGACAAAATCCTTCAGTTCACATCATGGAGGGAGAAAAGCCCAACTCATAGTAAAATATGGACTAAATATATATTCTGGTGGACAAATGTTTTCAAATCTATGGAAAGAAATATAAAAGAAAAAACATCACTAAAAAAAAATTAAAAAGCTACTAAATTTTTTTTTCTCAAACCCTAAAAACTGGTGTCCACTCACGGAACCTAGAATAAGTCTATTCCTATTAAAACACAAAATAAAAACTAAAAACTAAAAATCGTGCAAATTGGAAAATTTGAATTATACAATGAATTGTAGAAGTATTTCAAAATAAGGGACATAAAAATTGGAAACCCCTCACTAAGGTAAGCACATTGCTATTCAAATTTGAAAATTAGATTTTCTTTTGAAGTTTAATAATTTGACAATCAATTAGGATATTTAAGATAACATTGACCAAAATGAAACCGTGAGTAAACTATAGGGACCATTGATGTAATTTTCTTTATTATTTATAAAAAAAATAAAAAAATATGTTGTATGACTATCATATCCTATTTGATTTAGAAAAATACTTGAGACACTTAATTTATTACTTCTGAAAACCACCTCTAATGATGTATTTGACAAGTGTCAAATTTTAATGTGTAAAAAATTTCATCGTGTGTGGTCTAACCTCAATGACACATCATTAGAGCAACTCCAAGGGAAGTGGTATACAAGTCATGTTAGCCATTTTAGCTAATATTATCCTAAATTCTCACTCCAATGGGCTGGCTAAAGGGCTGCCTATTTTCCCTCGCCCCTTCTCCGCTGGCTTCAATTGGAGAGTGATTGAAGGCTCTCCAAACTCGTCTCTCCCGCGAAATCGATCTGCTCCTTCTCCAAACACGTCTCTCCCACGAAATCAATCTGCTCCTTCAGCACGAAATCGATCTTCTCCTTCAACGTTGTCTGCAACTCCCTCTATCTGACCTTTTCCTCAAGGTTTACACTTTAGTTAAATTAAAAAGTATGGTTGGAACACACAATAACTAAACTAATTAGGTAAAATAAAGAGTGCCCTTTTTTTGAACTTTAGCTAGTGAAAAATAAAGAGTGTGGTTGGAGTTGCTCTTAGAGGTGGTTTAGAGATAGTAAATTAGAGGGATGTAGTATTGTTGATTTAATGTATCACATTTATTTCAAAAAAATGAATGTTGTAAATATAGAAAAAAAAATTAATGACAAATGCGATATTTTGAATTAGCTACGATTATTGGATCGATCTAATTTTTGTGTGTATGATATACATGAAAGATCTTACAAAATGAACATTTTAAAGTGTCAAAATGAGACTCGTGATGGGCCAGTGAGCCCAGACAAAATCCTTCAGTTCACATCATGGATGGGAGAAAAGCTCAACTCATAGTAAAATATGGACTAAATATATATTCTGGTGGACAAATGTTTTCAAATCTATGGAAAGAAATATAAAAGAAAAAACATCACTAAAAAAAAATTAAAAAGCTACTAAATTTTTTTTTCTCAAACCCTAAAAACTGGTGTCCACTCACGGAACCTAGAATAAGTCTATTCCTATTAAAACACAAAATAAAAACTAAAAACCAAAAATCGTGCAAATTGGAAAATTTGAATTATACAATGAATTGTAGAAGTATTTCAAAATAAGGGACATAAAAATTGGAAACCCCTCACTAAGGTAAGCACATTGCTATTCAAATTTGAAAATTAGATTTTCTTTTGAAGTTTAATAATTTGACAATCAATTAGGATATTTAAGATAACATTCTCCCTTGTTTCTTCTATAATCATTAATTAATTATATTACTTACGCATCATTGAGTCTAAAAATTGAGTCACTACAAGAAATTAAAGTTTTAAAGACAAATTTTTAGGGACAAAAATAATTTATTTGTAAAAATTATACTTTTAAGGACAAAATGAAAGAATTTTTAAAAATATATATTTAATCATGTTATTACATATTCTAGACAAATTTATTTGGTTGTAAAAAGATCAGTCACTTTTCCTTATAATTTTAATTGGTCTCTAATAAACCCAAATCATATATTATTGTATTTTATATATTAATTTTTGAGCTCATAGTCGGGGAACAAAAACAAAAAAAGGTTTCATCACTCACTCTCTCCCTCTCTCCATCTCTCTCAAATCTCTAACACTATGTTTGGGAGCTTAGGAGAGAAAAGAAAAGAAATGATTACTTAAGTTATAAGAGAAAAGAAAAGAAACGAAATGATTGTGATTTCTCTCCTTTTTGTTTGGATAAGGAAGAAATAAAAGAAAAGAAATAATTGTGATTTCTCTCATTCTTGTTTGGTTAGATTTCATTAAGAAAAAAGAAAAGAAATTATTTTATGTTGTATTACCAAAATAATTTTTTTATATTTTCAATCATTTTATTTCTTTTATTTTTATAGGGACAAAATTTGTATTATGAAAATAGTGGTTTCTTTTCTCTCCCAATCTCTCCACTTTTGGGAAGATTGAAAATGAGGCTTATAAGAGAAATGAGTTTCTCTTCATTTCTCTCGATTTCTTCCCATTTCTCTTCACTTAAGTTGTCCAAACAAGTAAGAGAAATACACATCTCTCAATTTCTTTTCTTTTCTTTTCTCTCCAAATCACTCAATCCAAACATAGCGTAATTTCTTTTCATATATCTCTTCTCTACAGATTCATATATTTCTTCTCTACGGATTCGATATATGAACTCAATGATTCTTCTCTACGGATCTCGTTGATTGCTTCTGATCTATGGTTCATCATTGTCTCATAGCATCTCTTTCCAGGGCTGGATCGCTCTGTTGTCGCCTCATCTCTCCTTGATTCTCTGATTTCCCGGTGACTCTCCGGCAGCGATTCCAATCAAGTACCATAAATATATGTATATACATACATGTATGTATTTGTATAATCGATTTGATATCGCAATTTTAGCCCTCAGTTTCGTGTATGGTTTTGTATACACGTATAGATTCATGTGTTTGTTCAATCAATCTGTTTCAGTGAGGTGTTTATAGTAATCATCAATAATTAAGCGTTTTTCATTTTTAGGGTTCATAGCATAAGAAAATCTCTTAACCGTGCATTTTTTGATCTTATCACTTCATATCTGAATCATGCATTTCTTAATCGTGTATTTTTTGATCTCTGAATCGTGCATTTTTAATGATTCAAAAAATGCAATTGCGATTCTAAATTTAAATTTAAATTTAAATTTAAGTATTCCATGTAGTATGCTAGGATAGAGGATTTTTCTCACCGAAAAAACATGTTTCTAAATACTGAATATCATATCATATCTGAATCTCTGAATCGTGTATTTTATGATCTTATCTGAATCGTGCATTTCTTAACAGCGTGATGATATGTCATAAATCCTTGAAGGTGCATTTGATTTCTTTTGTATGTTGTAGGTCTGTTTTAGAATCATATGTTACAAAAATGAGAGAAATTTATATGCAACTAACCAATGATCCTTTAGACATCTCTATAATCCTTGTTTGTTATTGTAGTTCTTCTTCTTCCCAACCCACCAAGTTGTGCTTTTTATATGTTTCAATTATCTAATATTTTTACAGATCATATTAGATTGTGGTCTACTTGTATATTTATTTATTTGTAGTGGCTGAAGAGATGGAGTTGCATCAAGAGCTTTGAAATTACCAGATAACATAGTGAATGACTTTACTGATTCAATTCATTCCATTACTGTCATTTGTTTCCTATAATGGCTGTATTTTATTCAGTTCAAAACTTATTTCTTTTATTTTCTTACATGCTTTATGCATATTGAGTGATATTAATATATTTGATAACAAGACAAAATCTACTTTTGGTCTGAGGCAACCCACTTGCCTTGGCTTGGTTATTACTTATTATTGCACTCAACTGAAACCCTAAGTTTATTTTTGTGTAGTGTCTTATGCTTTTCTTTTACCTTAGTTTCAAGATTTTAGCCATTAAATCAGTTGATTTTCAGGGTTAGCAAGTTTCTCTTTTGGTCTCTTCTGAATTTTTGCTCAATGTTAACTAGTTATTTCATGTAGATTCAAGTATATTAGTGATTCTTCAATGGATATCGACTAATATTTATTATTAGTTCACCCGTATCAAATTTTAGACTTTTAATACCGACATATCAATCGATATAGGATTGTATTACAAATATTTGTAAGTATCCCAGTACGAGTCTATGGCTCAATGTTGCAATGTATCTCGGGGTTTAAATAATTAGGTGCATTATGGAGGTAAATCTGATTCTCTTGAAGTGCTTTGCAGCAACATAGCTGGTTCCTGTGGCAAGTTTCTTTTGTGATCTTCATTTTACTTTGTTTGTTGTGACTATTGTTAGTCAAAAACTTTTTACATTGCGTTTTGAATCATTGAGAAAAGGTAAAATGGGTTCTAATTTGACAATTGGATTGTTTGTATTCCCATCTTTCTTGTCCTTTACTTCACTTTTGAACCAAAGCTTAGGAAGAGCAAATGAATACAATGGAAAGTAGGTAAAAGAAAACCTATATCTAGGCCTTTGGGACCTAAACAACACGTGTGATGACTCTCTTTTTTCTTATATAGGCCTTTAATCAGCCAGTGATTGTTTTTTTAACCATGGACCACAGAATAATACAGAAGAACATCTTTTGAATATAAGATCCAAACAAGGCATATATAGTCGGTGATAATCCACTAATTATTTTTTTAGGGTATCACTTATTTATAATTTCTACTTTATTTAATATTTTTATTGTAGAAAATTTGATATATATGCATTTGTGGATATGAATCATGTAAGAATTTGTAATTCTGGTTAGATTTTTCATAGAAAAGAAGTAGAAGATAGTACTACATGGTTTGGGTGTTTGTGTAAGGAAGTAGGAAGTAGTTTTGAGTAAGCCTTTGTATTCGGAAAAGCTGTGTATGAAGAATTCGTAGAATCCCTATATTGATGCTTAATCTGATGTTTCTTTTGCTTTGAGGATATGGTCTTATATATGTTGATTCGGTTGAAGTTGAAATGGTATTATATATGTTCATCTTTGTTTTGAAGTTGTGATGGTTTGTTTAATGCTGATATTTGATTAAATTATTGTTGTTTTATTTCATTGATAGTTCGATCTGTTCTTAGTTCTACTAGATAGACTATCTGATTTATTATCTTGGGTTGTTCTTGGATTTGTTGTTTGTTGTGTGTTAGTCACACAGTTAAGATCTGTTTCTGTTTGCTTTCTTAGTCATTGACTAGATGGTCAATTGAAACATCAGCTTGTTGCTTATCAAGGTTTGACATTGCAAACTCAAATGGGTTATATTGATTTAGATGTGTGTATTGTTTTTCTTCACAAGTGTAGCTTCTCATGGTCAGAAAGTTGACGATATGATCTTCAATTTTAGTATTTCTAAAAGATGAGCAGCTAAAACTAAGGTGATTAAGTAGGGGATGCTGGACATTCTTATGGGAGCCCCTTTTTCTTTTTCCCTGGTATTGGTTTCCACAGTTCCTTCTATGAGTTTCATTAGTAATAGAATAACCTAATTAGTTATTTGTATATGGGTTGTGTTCCTTAATTCTTGATGAATGCTCTCCATACAGTAACATTACAACTAATATTGATACCAATACAATACGTGTCTTGATTCCTATGTGTAAAACTGCCCATCTCGGAGGATTATATTAGGAATATAAGAGCCACTTTGTTTAACTAAAACAAAATGTGTGAGATTGAACAAAAACATTTCCTCATTGTATCTTAAGAATCTGATTTAGTGGGTGCAATTTGAGGTCTTACCTCATGCCCACTTTCACAGAGAGAGAGAGAGAGAGAGAGAGAGAGGGATAGGAATAGGGATAGGGACAGGGGTCTCATCAAGATCCACAAACAATGGTTAGAATTGTATTGAATTGAGGCAAGTTGAAACATTTATGATTACGAAATAGACAAGGAGAATAACGCCACAATGCACAAAAGTGAATGTAGGTCTCAAAATAATGTTTATGATTTGGTTTTTTGGTACTTTGAGTATCACTTATGGTCTCTGCCTTTGAAATAGTTGAGCTGAGTTATTATGTCTGTTGAATTTTCAGGGACGACCAAAGGGTGTCACTCCAAAATTCAGCTTGGCGCCTCTTGTGCCCAGGCTGTTTGAACTTCTTGGCATTCAGGTATATCTTCTGAAATAAATATAAAGTAAGTTTACCAGTATCAGATGTCATGGCTGAGTTGTGGGTGGTCTCATTTTGATTTTAAAAGATCCAACACAAGTCACAGATGATTTTAAAAGATTTGTACTTGGTCTCATTTTGATAACCAATAACAAATGTTCAACACAAGGGTGTTAAAGGAATGTGAAAGTATATACTGTCTATTAATAAATATGCATAAGAATATATGCAGTGCAGAAACATATGATATATATACCTTCAGCTTCTAAACAGGTATGTCCACAAGAGGCAGAGGACGAGCAGGGTATGTACCTAGACCCCATGCGCCTACAAGATATGTTGTAAGTATCCCAGTATGAACAGGGTATTTTCAATTTTTTATAGCAAGTTGATTTAGTTTACTCTTTGTTAACTCTTGAATATTGATAGTGAATTTTGGGCGGCTTTATGTCCTAAGATTTATTTGTGATTGTTGTAGATACTACAATTGGCACATTAAATTGCAGTCTATTAAATTAATCTATCATTAGATAATTTTTAATTGGTAATCTATTTGAGAGTTTGGCCTAATCTATACAGGTCCTGCAAGCTTGCGTCGATTTGAAGCTTAGGAGCTCTCCTCTAGATTTTGATTGCCATTTCAACGAAGCCATTGAGAAGAAGATGCGATGAGTTGAGTTGTTTTGTTATGTAGGTAGATATAACTCCAATTACAATCTGTTCATTGAATAGTTGAATGCTACAAATAATGCTTATGGCACTAGCCTTATAAATTGGAAATGATACTTTTGAAATCTCTGTCAATTTTTGATATACAATTAAGATATTACATACTAATGAATCAGAGCATGGTATTTGTTTGTTATTGAAATATCTTTTAATTAAGCCTCTTTGAATGTGATAAGTAATTTTTTTTTTTATTTTTTATTTTTTGTGTAGTTGAATTATAATTTGGAGATGAACAGATGGTCTGGTGATATGTTTGATATTTTCTGTTTGGTTGTTAAGAAATCAAGAAAGGAATATAAGTTGATATTCATACTAGTATTTTTGGAGTAATTGTTCCAAAAATATATATATATATATATATATATCAAACTTTTAGAGACCAATTTTAGTTGTCTAAAAAAAATTATAACCTTTAAACACCACTTTCATTTGTCCCAAAAACTAAAACTTTTAGAAACCACTTTCATTTATCCCAAAAACTAAACTATTAGATACCAATTTCTGTTGTCTCAAAAATTAATTTTTGTCTCCATAACTACGTCTGTTGGACTATAATTAGATTTTTAGACACAAATTTGGTTGTCTCAAAATCAAAACTTTTTGTAACCACATATTTTTATCTCTAAAATCTATTTATAGTGACAAACGCAAAATTTTGTCTCTAAAAGTCATTGTTTGACTTTTCTAGACGGACCATTTGGGACAAACTACGCGATGGGATAAAATTGGTTGGTTAAAGTTTTTCCTAACAAATATTACACTTTTAGGGACGGAATAAATTTGTCCCAAAAAGCTGATTTCTTGTAGTGTAAAAAATAGATTTATATATTATTATTTTTAGTGAAAAGAAAAACTTTCCAAAAGTAGCAGAAAAAACAATAAAACTACTAATTTGGAAGTCTAAATCATGAAATTTGACCCCAAAATTGTTATTTTTCCAGACTTAACAAGGACTTTCTTCCCAAATTCAATAATTTTTCATACGATCAAATGAACTTGTTGAATAAATCATATTTTCATTGCGGCAAAAATATGCGAAAATCACCATATTCCTTATATTAATGTTAGCCAAGAACTCGCAACAAAGATACACGTAATAAAATTAATAAATTTAGAAGCAAACATAGAAAATGTTTTCATACCCTTTGTTAAAATTAATTAATTTATAATCAAACCTAAAACTTGGTAAAAGATCTGGCTTGCTTTGCCAACTTTAATGAACCCTACAAAACAGGGTAAAAGACCTAACTTGCTTTGCCAACTTTAATGAACCCTTTAATGCACCCTTTAATGAAACCCTACAAAACGGGGTAAAAGACCTAACTTGCTTTGCCAACTTTAATGAACCCAACAAAACAGGGTAAAAGACCTAACTTGCTTTTCCAACTTTAATGAACCCTTTAATGAATCCTACAAAACAGGGTAAAAGACCTAACTTGCTTTTGCCAACTTTAATAAACCCTACAAAACAGGGCAAAAAATCTATTAACGAGGAAATAGTTGTGTATTTGAAATTTTTATTTATTTGTTTCTTACAAGATTTATAATACAATTTATACTAAGCATATTTTTAAGTTATATTTGGTTTATGAATTTGAAAAGAAAAAAAAAATGTGTAGAAAATGTAAATGAAAATCTACTTTTTCCATTTCTCTTTTCAAACTTTTTTCCAAATCTATAAACCAAACACAGCCTTAAAGATATAAAAAGAGAAATGTTTATTCCACACTATGTGAATGGGTGTGTAAATTATTACGTGAAAAATTATATAACTCTAACATTACACATGAAAAAGAGAAATTCTCAAACAAGTGAATATTGTGCATTACGATTTAGAATAACCAAAAGGAAGATTACTAGCCTCATTTAAACGACAAATTATTCAATTGCTTGACATTTCACAAATAAATTTGAGTCATTATTTCTATGCCATTGCTTATTATGACAGTGAATATTATTGTTATACGAAAAATGTTAAGCAAATTTTATTAGAATAAAAAAATTACTAAATAAAAAATTTAAAGTGAAAAAGAGTTGATTACATACAAGTTTTATCTTCAAAACTTTACGGATCATAAGAAAATACAATTGAGAAATTACAAAAATTTTGCAACAATGGTTGAGAATGACTAAAAAATGAAACAATCTATCCACTTGTTTGCAAAGCAATTGCATTTGTGCTTACTCTTTTAGTTAACAAAATGGATGATGATTTTGTAGCAAATTGTTTTCTTTTGTTCAAATAGAAACTTATTTTAGTTTATACATATTAATTTAGTATTAAATATTAATTTATTTTTCATTCTTTAATTGAAATAGAATTGCTTATATCAATTAATATAAAATTTAAATAAATAAATAAAATAAAATAAACTTATTTTGGCCCCCTGAAAATGAAATCCTAATCCTGCCCCTACTACAAAACAATTGTTCCTCAGCATGATGGCACATTAATTTAATTTAAACAAAGGGTATAATATTGTAAAACAGAATAGTACAAACTTGTCACTTATCATCATTCTACTATATCACTACTAAAAAAAGTACTTTTTGCGACCGCTATAAGCCGTCGCAAATAATAAAAAAACAGTCGCAAGCCCATGCGACGGCAAATGAGGGTCGCAAATGTGGGGGTGGCAAATACTTTTTGCGACCGCAAAATAACAGTCGCAAACTATTTGCGACCGCCTAACCTGCTTATAGCGACTGATATTTTGCCGTCGCAAAAGAGTTTGAAAAAGACCTACAATGTATTAGCGACCATCTTCTTACCGTCGCAAAACATAAAAATAAAAAATAAAAAAAAATACTTATATCATATATATATTCAAATATTATATAAAATAAACATAAAGACATATTTGCAAAAATTTCAACATTCAGGCATTATTTTCCATTTCTTCCCTTAATAAAATTCTCTTTCTTCAACAAAAAAAAAGTATGCAACAATAACAAGGAGTCCAAATTCATTTTAAATTCTGACAGATGATCGTTAGGTGCTAAACAGTCCAAATTCACAAGCCCAAGCATACAAAGCAACACGAGCAATATGATTATGAGCAATAGAGAAAAAATGTTAAGCTATGAAAATGTGGTCCGGCACCTAGAGAGGAAAACGCGCCACTTTAACCTGAGACGGCCTGCTTTTGGGATCAGCCAATCTACATTACCAACAAAGAAAATTTTCTTCTTGTCAGTTAAAAACAGGAACCACGTGGACTCCTTACTTTGAAAATAAAATAAAACATAATTTTCACTCAAAATTTCTGAAAGGAAAACCAAAGAAAGAATCAAATTTCAAGCAGTGAAATGTTAACTATAAATACTGTTGGCACCTAAGATTAGCTTCACAACCCTCCTGTAGAGGGCATGCCAACCACTTGTACCATTCTGACTCTGAGTCTAGTGTTAGATTAAATTAACTGATTTGATCATACAAGCACTAGTGATGCTACACAGTAACCAAAATTGGGTATCAAATTTTTCAATACCATTTAAAATGTCACCAATTCATTTGTGTGAGACATGAAAGATGGGATCCATTAAATTAATGCATTAGTGATCCATCATATAGCATTCAAAATTTGCTAACATATTGAGTCTAAAAAATGGATCTAAAAATTAGATTTATATATTATTATTTTTAGTGAAAAGAAAAACCTTCCAAAAGTAGCGGAAAAAACAATAAAACTACTAATTTGAAAGTCTAAATCATGAAATTTGACCCCAAAATTGTTATTTTTCCAGACTTAACATGGACTTTCTTCCCAAATTCAATAATTTTTCATACGATCACATGAACTTGTTGAATAAATCATATTTTCATTGCGGCAAAAATATTCGAAAATCACCATATTCCTTATATTGATGTAAGCCAAGAACTCGCAACAAAGATACACGTAATAAAATTAATAAGCTTAGAAGCAAACATAGAACATGAGGGGCCATCCCCGGCCGGCTATCTAGAGAGTGCCACTAATATGGTTAGTTCTTTGAAAATTGTATACAATTTTTATTAATTGTGGCCCCTCGCTTTGAATGAATATGGTCCCATCCCTTTTTCAATTGCCCACGTCATTCGATTAACAAGGAAATAATTGTGTGTTTGGAATTTTTATTTATTTGTTTTTTACAAGATTTATGATACAATTTATACTAAGCATATTTTTAAGTTATATTTAGTATATGAATTTGAAAAGAAAAAAAAAATGTGTATAAAATGTAAGTGAAATATAATTATATTTCATCTACTTTTTCTATTTCTCTTTCCAAATTTCTTTCAAAATCTATAAATCAAACACAATTTTAGAGATATGAAAAGTTCCGCACTATGTGAATGCGTGTGTAAATTATTACGTGAAAAATTATATAACTCTAACATTAAACATATGCAAAAACAAACAAGTCCGTATTGTGCATTACGATTTGGAATAACCAAAAGGAAGATTACTAGCCTCGTTTAAATGACAAATTATTTAACGGCTTGACATCTCACAAATAAATTTGAGTCATTATTTCCATGCCATTGCCTATTATGACAGTAAATATTATTGTTATACGAAAAATGTTGAGCAAATTTTATTAGAATAAAAAAATACTAAATAAAAAATTTAAAGTGAAAGAGAGTTGATTGCATACAAGTTTTATCTTCAAAGCTTCACGAATCATAAGAAAATACATTTAAGAAATTAAAAAAATTTTGCGTCAATGGTTGAGAATGACTAAAAAATGAAACAATCTATCCACTTGTTTGCAAAGCAATTGTATTTGTGCTTACTCTTTCAGTTAACAAAATGAATGATGATTTTGTAGCAAATTGTTTTCTTTTGTTCAAATCGAAACTTATTTTAGATTATACGTATTAATTTAGTATTAAATATTAATTTATTTTTCATTCTTTAATTGAAATAAAATTGTTTATATCAATTGATATTAAAAAAAAATTTAAAAAAAAAACCTTATTTTAGCCCCTGAAAGAGAAATCCTAATTTGCCCCTACTAGAAAACAATTGTTCCTCAGCACGATGGCACATTAATTTAATTTAAACAAAGGCCCGTTTGTTTTAAGAGGTAGAATAGAAGAGATTTATAGTGAATGGATTAATAGTGAGAGAATTAAATAAAATTGTGTTTGTT